GGGGGGGGGACCCCTTTTAATGCTGTCTCTTATGTGAGGGAAGAACATAATTTACATATGTCTGAAAAAAAGCTCTTAGGAAAATATTTGTGCCTAAGAAGGAAGGAATGGGCAATTTATAATATCAGATAACAAGGATATCTTGTAATCTGGAAGAGTACCTGTGTTTTGGAGAGACATACTCTCTTCATCTTCATGGATAAGGAGTCCTATATTGGTAAACTTCTGCTGTAGTACGTAAGACATATAAGGGAACTCTGTGCTTTACATAGGTCAGCAGACAACACTGTTCATTGTTGTATGCTCATCCGTTGCCGTGGGAACTTGTTTACTGAACCGTTCCCTAACAGTGGCCGTCTATTATTATATATTAAGAATCTGCTGCCTAGCAACAGCTGTTTCTCTGGCTACAGTAAACAGTGTGTCCAGGTTCTGTTAGGACTGTGTTCATTAAACATACAAGACGTGATTTATTTTCAAAATTTCACTCTTTTTATTCAAAATAGTCTCATTCTGAATCTAATACATAGCTTGAATTGATTGAAAAGTTTTTGAAAACTGTCACTGTACTTATTTTGTGGAATCACAAATAAAACTGCAGTACATTCCCTTTGGATGTCCTGGATGGTGTCGTGATGGTCTCGTTTCATCGCCAACTTAACTTTTTGGAACAACGAGAAATCTGCTGGAGCCAAATCTGGCGAATGTGGGGAATGATCAAGGGCTATGATCCCTTTTCTGGCCAAAAAATTGTGCACGATTTTCGATTTGTAGTGTGGGGCATTGTCGAGGAGGGCCTACCCGGAGCCTTGCTCTCGATATTCAGGTCGAAATCGAAGAATTCTCACCCACAAACGATTGAGGACTCCGAGATAATAATCAGAATTTACTGTTTGACCTTCTGGCATAAATTCCTTTTGAATGATTCCTTTGGAATCGAAGAAAACGGTTAGCAGTGTATACTCGACTCTTTTGTGTGTGCACTTTCTTTGGTTTCGTTTTCTTTGCGCTCAACCACGCTGCACTCTGCCACTTTGTGAGAGGCTCATATTGAAAACACCATGTCTCGTCACCAGTAACAATCGATTTTATAAATTTTGTATCACTTTGGGCCGACCATAACATGTCTTTGCAGTGTTCCACCCTGGCATGTTTTTCATCGCCTGACAGTGCGTGCGGTACATATCGAGCACAGACCTTCCATTTGCCCAAATCCTCAGTCAAAATTTGGTGCACAGTACGTTTTGGTATTCCCAAAAGCTCCTCGATGAGTCTTGCAGAAATCCATCTGGCTGATGCAAGGATTTTGGTCACTTTTTTCACATTTTCTTCAGTGCAACATGTTCTTGGCTATGATGCACATGGAGCATCTTCAGTGTCCTCCCTGCCATCATGAAATACAGCATACCATTGTAAAATGTTCGAGTGACTCAAACAATCACTACCGTACACACTTTTCATCATTTTGTACCCTTCTCCAGCTGTTTTGCCTGACTTCAAATAAAAGTTAATGTGGGCGCTCTGTTCAACCGCCATTTTCCGACAAGCATCTTAACAGTACTCTTACATTCAAAGTCAGAACACATGATGCAGCGATGCTTGTGCTTTGAAATTATAGACAGCCACAGCTGAAACTTCAAGAATCTTAACGCCACAACTTGCCAACAGATGGCATTGCAGGGCAAAGTTTGAAAAAATGAATCCTGATGGATCCTGGACACACCGTGTATGTTTGGGTTCCATCTACACATTTGTTAGCCAGTTAGTCGATCGGATGTGGGGTTGTCTCCACTTGAAAACAAATTGACACCATGTTAAAGTTTTATGAGGCAAGCACAAGGAATCTAAGTTTAAAATGTTTGCGTTTTCCCTTACATTTACTTGCACTGATTTCAGACAGTTTTAACATCTTTGAACAGGAAGTATTACTTCTGTATCACTAAGGTTATAAAGTTGTTTAATAAGATATTAAATCTATTTTTGTGAAGTAATCACATCCATTAATGAATGAATGTAACAGTATAATTTGTAAGTGCATTACTTTCAAATGCTGAATACAATTCTCAACTGTCTTTATTTCTTTACTATTCATCTCTACCCAGCCTCCTATCCAAAAGGTACCAGGGGCTGTTTCCCCTTTTTTAAAGCGCCCTGGGCGTAAAGCTAACCATTCACCCCCAACTAGTATCCAGGTAAAGAAAATGTGGATCTATACATGCACTCCCCCATATGCCTTCATGGTGTAGTGCTTAATTAGTTAAGCACAGGGATGACTTTTCTTTTAATCTTCATCAAATTGAAATGTGTACATTTTATCACAGGCACCAAATAGGAACCTAGAAGACCGTATTCTACAAGTGAACCCCATCATGGAGGCTTTTGGCAATGCCAGAACAGGCATCAATTGTAACTCCTCTCGGTTTGGGAAGTTCTTGGATTTGACCATGACTCGAGCAGGAAAGGTCACTGGTGCCAGAGTGTCAGTTTATCTCTTGGAGCAGTCCCGAGTGTCACAGCAAGCACAGTAAGATGTAACCGAGTAATTTATTGCACTTTCAGTCAGACCTATTGAATCTATGCATTTAGGAAATCCATGAAATTAATTTAAACATTTCCAAATGTCTTTTATTTATTTCCTTATTTAAGACTTTGTTTCATGGACCAAAGAGAGAGAGAGTGTCAGAGTTGGTAAATAGAAGAGGGTGTAGCATGCTTCAGGGGAATGAAAAATTCATACCCAGTTTTGGTTTGAACATGTGAAGGAGAGATTCATGCAAAGCTTGGTCTTTGATTTAGTTGGCCCTCAAATTCAAGAAAGGTGGGGAATTTATTGACCAGCTGAATAACTGCCAATTTTTTCAAGAAAGATCCTGTATGATGGAGTTAGTTAAAGTTTCCCTGTACATTCTCATAATCTTATGGTTACTTACAAACCACTGAAGGAACCTGCATCTTCAACCAGTTCCTCTGAAACATTGAGAACCATATATGAGACTACATATTCTGTAAATATAACTGTAACACAGGTACACCATTTCTGAACTACTGTAAATGTCATTTATTAACTGATTCCTCTAAAGATCACTAAATTAAACCATGAAATAAAATGGCAGTTATTTTTGACTAGTAAATCATATACAGTTTTTTAATAAAAATGTAATAAATTTCATATCAGTCCAAAAGGAAGAGCTATGTGGTTAGAATGGGATGATGGACAGGGATGATGTAAGCATGAAAAAATTATTCAAATGAAAAATGAGTAATGAACTTCTAAAATAGAAAGGGTCTGACATATATTATTGAAGTCTGAAATTTAGAGAAATAAATGTTTTCTTCCATCACAGATAACACTAATAATGATAGCTTAAGTAAATAATTCCTATAGCAAAGAACCTTATTTAAAATTTACAGGGGTGAGAGAAATTTCCATGTGTTCTACTACCTATATGATGGGCTTGAATCTGACAGTCGTTTGGCAGAGTTTCACTTGGACCCAGTATTGAGACTTCGTCACCGTTATTTGGGAGAAGATGCACAGGATCAAGAAACAAAGAAGGTAACAGCTCCCGCTTATTAGCCACATGCTCACCCCATCATAGTCTCTTTGGTTTCACTGCCCTGTTGATGCTGGATGACATGTATAAATCTGCCCCTCGGTTTGCTTGTTAGGGATGCAGATTTGTGTAGACAGTCTGTCTGATGAATATGCTTGTTATTACTGAAACATATCAGATATACTAATATTCTGAAATGACATTGTGTAGTTTTATGCCATTTTGTTTCTGTATATAAGTGTTTTTGACCGACTGTCACTAATTATTTGAAGTCTTATTAACCGCATCTCTATGACATCAGCAAGGAAGCAGTCAATTTCTACAAAACAGCAATACTTCACATGCACAGACATGATCTAGACATATTATCAGAGGACTTCGCCTTCTAAGACGTGTGCTAGTTTGTTTACATATGGTGTGGTTTATTATGTCATCATCTACAAAATCTTGAAGTCATGAAATATATATATATATATATTGTGACGTGCTAAGCTATGGATGACGCCCCCCCCCGNGAAGGACATGCTTCTACAGTTGGTGGTTGTTTGTCTGTTTCATTCATTTTCTAGATTTGGTCATATTGTGTTTTTAGCATGCCTGATAATTCTGAATTTAGATACTTGGACATCAAGTAGTCATCTGACGACCCACAGCAAAAAATGTCATAAGGGGAACAGTTGTGACCATGTATAATGGTATATGAACTTCTACATTTCCAATTTTTTTGTGATACTTAGCCACTATTATAGTTTATACTGAACTGTGCAGTTGCCCGAAACGTGTCTACTGAATGGCTGAAGAGCAATAGTTAGAGCAGTCAAACTAGTCCCCCTGCAAAAACATGCAAAAGGAATGGTGGCACCATATGAACCACTACCATAGCTTGGAATGATATACAGTGGGGAGGTCAAGAGGGGAAGGAACTGAGAAACCAAGTTTATTCGTCACATATTGTCATCTGTCATGAATAGAAAAGGGTGCTCACATTATAAGTGTGTAAATGGGTGTGTGGACTCAAGCACATGCTTGCATGCATAAGAACAAACGTTATGATCCGTAACAACAAGCAGAAGAAAAGTTGTGGTCCCAGATATTGGGGTTTACTTAGCTTACATTTCTCTTTGTAAAGTCAGGCTTCAAACTAAGGGTGCAGACATGTGCAGATATGTTTGTTTCTGCATGCGCTCGCTCATGCAAATGCTCATGTGCATACATGTATGTGTGTAGGCTCAGAAACTGGAGTATGTGGATGGATGGAGTCACTGAACTGATGTGTGCACACATATGCATAGATGTGTGTTGGTGGATGTGGTAGAAGCCATGGATCCAAAACCATTAATATATGGAATCTCTAAACTGGTGGTGTGTGCACATATGTATGCATGTGTGTGCTTGTGTGTAAGAGACAGAAGTCAAGGCTGCAAAACTGGGGGCATTTACAAGTGGAATTTCTTAACTATTCAACAAACATAAAGTTGTGAAGAACATGTAGCCACTGGATTTGAGCTGCAATTAGGATCATAAGACCAAGATGGCTCCTTTGTGTCACTAAATCTAAACATTAGTTTCCTTTGCATGCTGCAGATGAATGTGGAGAGGTACCACCAGCTGAGTGTAGGTTTCCGTCTCCTAGGATTCCAGAGTGATGAGGTGGACACAGTATATCGTATCCTGGCAGCCATTTTGCACCTTGGTGATCTTGAGTTTGGTGAAGTTGTCACACAGGACAACACTGATAACAAAAGTCACGTTGTTGACCTTGCTCCTCTGCACAGAGGTGTGTAAACTTGTCTCATTGGCTTAATGTGGCTGGGGAATGATTCAGTTCTAGAGGAATCTCTGAGTTTAGTGAATTTATGGAAGCTTATACTCTATTAACCTTTCCACTTCTATGGACAGAATGTATCTTATATGGAGAACATTATAGTTGGAACTGTCCCACCAAATATACAGAGTGATGTAACATCAATGTTAATTAAAAAATATTCATAGATGGGAAAAAGAAATTGATGTTAGGGAGAAGAATGAGAGGAAAAGAGAAAAAATAAAAGAGCTAGGGAAGGAAATAACATAAGAAAGATGGGATGAGGGAGAGAGAGAGAGAGAGAGGTGTGTAAATATAAAAAAAAATGTAAATACCTCGTCTGATAGTCTCAAGATATTATTTATACTTCACCAGATCATGTGAAAGTTTCAAAGTGGATGCATTTCACTTGCTTGTGTTGTAATTTTGGGTAACAGTGTCTCGGCTTCTCGGCGTGGAGCCGAGTGACATGTTGGAGGCATTGACTTCAAACAGTGTAGTGACACGTGGTGAGACCATCACAAGAAACAACACAGTTGCTGAGGCTTGTGCAGCCCGTGATGCCATGGCCAAGGGTCTCTATGGTCGACTCTTTGATTGGATGGTTAACCAGATCAACTGTCTACTCACATTTAATAAAGCAGCTTGGTGAGCTTTATGTTATTATCTATCACCATTTTCTTGTATCTGAAATATCCTGTTTTCAGTAACTCACCTCAGGTCAACCTGTGGGTTTACTCAAATATTGAAAATAATCATCGTCTATGAACATTTACACAAGGATGGTTCATCTTATAACAGAGCCTCCATTCGTCTCTAACCACTGTAGCTATAGTCACTATTCTTTACTCTATTTTGTGTATTGTCCTTCACTTGATAACTAAGACAGTAGTTAGACATCTTCATGTTTGATTCTTATAATGCTGGGCTAATAATAATACAAAATGCTTCATTAATGACCATTAGTTGAGTGCCTAATTGCAAATACATGCAGAGGAAAGTGTATTGTAGTGTCATTGTAATTAATAATTTTCAAGCTTAAATGGCAGAACATTGGATCAATATCTTATGCTTGAACTTTTAGATCATAACTTGTCTCTTTAACAGTGGAGAACCATTGGCAGTGGGCCTTTTGGACATCTTTGGTTTTGAAAACTTTCCACGGAATTCATTTGAGCAACTGTGCATCAATATTGCTAATGAACAGATCCAATACTACTTCAACCAGCACATCTTCACTTGGGAGCAGCAGGTGACATTTTAATCTTGTGGCATAACACCCATTTTTGTCTGTGAATACTTAACCAACAAACACTGTGGTAGCAGAACACAAATGTTCATTATCATAATACCACATTCCACTATTGGATGCAAACCTTAGCTAGTGGCATCCACTTCCTGTCATAATCCACTTCTCTCTAAGATATGTCTTAACGTTATTGTACCATATTCTTGATCTTCAAAGTGGATATTTCCCAGAAAGTGAAGAGTATGAGATAGGGATCTCATCATACTCAGTAGAATTGGTCATTTTCAATTTGTCTATAATTTTTTCAATTTCATTTGTTGTAATGTAACTATAACACAGGTCTGCAACCAAAAAACTGCATAGGATATTTTTACTGTTTCTTATAGATTTTTACTCACTAAAACCGGAAATAATAGTAAAAAAAATCCATCACGTCAATTTTTTTGCAAAACTCATATTTTAATTTAATTTTGCGTGAAATTTCTCTTCACCATGAAATCTGGTATCCTACTGTTGATTCTAAAAACCATATCCAATAATTATTTCTTACTTTAAAATAATATTTATAAGAGTGAATCTAAAAAATAATACAAATAGAAAATGGGTGGGATGGGGGGGGGCAGTGGAAGGGGTGGGTTTGGCGGTGTGAGGAGCTCAGGCGATCATGTCCCAACACGTTTACTTTGTTTGTAGCGAAAGGTGAGGAATCTTACTAGCTCAGTTGAGCATGTTTGGACATGTTCTTTGGGGCAATAGGAATGAGTATAAACAAGCCTGCTGTCAGATTTGATCATGTCTCAACATGCTAAATAAGTTCAGGATCTTGGTTGATGTATAAGCCACTCAGTT